GTAACAGCATCAGCTGCTGTAGGAGGGGAGGAACATTTTGGTTGGGGTTTCATATAATGGCAATTAATTTAGAGAGTAATGGGGTCAGGAGAGGAGTATACTGCAGTTGCTAGGTCTTCACAGCCTGCCCCTCTCGGCTGTCTTCCTATTCTGTTTTACTTCTCCTTCCTCTGACAGCTCCTGACACTCTGACTCCTGCTTCCCCCCCACCCTCCATCCCTGTCACTTCTGCTGCTTTCTCCCACCTGGTCCATGCAGAAGGCACACATATCTTCTGCAGCTGGACGTAGCTTCCATAATGGAACTGTTTCTGGCTCTCAGGGAATGGTGCATATACACCTCTTACAGAAGTGCAGATGTAGCATTTTGGGAACTTAGTTGGTGCAAATTATATGTAACTACTCAAAGGTTTAAATACTGGTGTAATTCAGATGGTGGGTGTAGCCTGAGAAAAGGCTATGTCTAATCCAAACACCTCAGGTACCTGAATTAAAGTTCCGTTTTAAAAACAAGATGGCACTTCAGCACTTTGCTACAACTCAATGCCCATGATCTATTTTTTTTACTATAGGCTTTTTAAAAATCTTTTTCAGAGAGATGAATAATTTTCATTCAAATATAAAGAGGGAAAAGTCTAGGGATATTGGGTATCTGCCTAATAGAGAAAGCTTAGCAAAATTAAGACAAGCCTAATAGTGGAAAACCTTAAGCAAGCCTTATGACTGGAGTTACCTTAAATAGAGAATACCCAACAGAGGCAGCCCCACTACTGGGATTTTTCTGTTGCTCATGCATAACCCTTGAGCTAGGAGAACAAACTTTGCAAAACAAATTAGACCAAGAGGTTGTCCCATATACAATTAATATAATCCAGAGCTGATTCACTGTAGATCAGAAAGTGTCCCAAGTACGGTGCTGCTCAGTATGTAAACAGGCTAACTCCTTTGTAATTAGTGTCCTCTCTTCTAAGTTACAGAGTGTGGGAGCAGACTGAGCTACAAAAGACCTTTAAAATCCTTGATACCACAAATTATGATGCTCTGAAAAACTGGTAGGGAACAGTTGCATGGTTTGCTTGCTTCTTCATCACAGTATTTGGCCAATGGGTATGTTGTCTTTCCAGACTCTCTTAACAGTCAAAAGCAGCTTCTTATAAAATGCATAAATACCTGGAGATTTCTTCCCAAGGCAAACTGTGGTTTCTGCCACCGCTTTGATCAAACATTCTTCTTTCTGGCTCATCTCGTTCTTCTGGTGCGAAGGATGAGAGGTTTTGCTACTCGGAGAGCTTGGGTGTGCTTTTCTCACCAACACCTCTGGTCCTCCAACAGCAGAAGAGAGTCCATCTGATGATCTGTGGCATAAGCAGGTCACGTGCCTGCTGTTGCCACTAAGGTGCGATCCAAGCTTTTAAGATTTTTGTTCATGCTTCTTTTTCTCCTTCCACCTGTACCCCAAGGAGCTGGCTGTGTGAAGGTGGGACAGGTGTCCGTGCTGGGAGGGAGGAGTATTTTGTTGTTAGCTGTGGTGCCTGCTTAAAGCTGCCAGCTGCTCCCCGTCAGTCCACTGCCAGTCGTGCACCAGCTTAAGTCTTCTATTTACTCTTGCTGCTTTCCTTGTGGATACTTTCTGGGACATCTTCAGGTGCTGCTCGGGAGTTTTGCTTCTAAGCAAAGCAGCAACTTGTAACTGACTCGAATGCAAACTCCCTCACATGCGTGTCCCAGAACTGCTGCCTGATTTTGATAGAATCCAATTCCTTTCCTGGACTCGCTTGTCCTGCCAATGTTTGGCTTTTTGACATAGGAGGTGCCATTCTTCCTTCCCCTGAAATGGTATGGGGCTTCTCTGCACGGGTTTCTTAAGTTGTGGAGGTGTAACGTTTTCTTGGCAAACTGACGTTTTTTGCATTTAAATGCCAGCGCCCAAACAAATGCTTTGTCTTTCCTGTACTGCCTTCTTTAATCACGTTCAGAATAAACTGGATTAACATTTACATCATTAACAGTAAAAATCTGCTGGAAGCTACAATACTGAGGCTGTTCTTCATAGAACTAAACTACGCAGTAATAATAAAAAAGTATGTTTGTCTTTTTGCTGACATATTATTTTTTGTTTTGCAACCATTTGATGATTTTACACAACAGAACTAGGAAAACTGTGTAAATCTCTTATTTAAACTTCATAAGAGAAAATACATATGGCTGCTTACTTGACCTGGGGGAAAAAAAAACACCCTAAAAAGATTAGATCAGACCACCCTCTCAGTGTTTGTGAGGTACCTCAACTATGTGTACAGCAAATGAGTATGAAGAAACATACTCATTTTTGTTCTTTGTATCTTTCTGTTAAAAAAAAAAAAAGGTTAAATGAAATCCCAAAGTTGCAAGTAGATCGTATACATTTCCTCAGTGAAATGGTCTGAGCTCCCATTGCAATGCCTAGGGCAGCAGAAGCAGGGGGAGGCCGTACAGTGATGTTTGTTAGAAATAGATGTCTCCATCTGTAACAAGAGAAAATTAAATGTTTTGTTGGGCTTGAGAAAACCCTCAGAAGAAGTGCCTTCAGAGTTGACAGATGAAGGTTAAATCAATAAGCAATTAATCACATTCATCCCTTTTTCTATAGTAAGGCAGATAGTCAGACATAGTTGTTGGGGGTTTTGTTTTTAAAGAAAGAGCTTTATTTCAGTCAATGGCAGGCATCAGCATTCGGGCTCTGGACAGACGTCTGTGGGATTTAGCTAGGCTTTTGCAACTGGAAAACAATTTCCAGTGTGGAAATGTGGATTGTCTTGCACAAGGGGCATACCGAAAGCTCATTAGTTAATGACTGTAAATAGTCTACACTGCCTTGCTCCACATATACTAAAGTGGGACAGGACTAATTAAGCAAGTAAACTTACTACTTATTTTTAAATGACAAAGTAATTTGATTATGGCTGTTATGCAACTAATTTCCAAATAAATCTGAACAACCCCCTACCAGATTAAGGTGCAAACTCAGCAGTATATGATGTGCCCTACACAGTACAGACGACTGTAACATTTCATTTGGTTTAACCAATTTATATGAATCAAATGCCCCAGAAGCTGCATTTCACACTACACATGAATTTTTCCCTAATCCAAATCATGCTACTATGTTCATTTCGGTTTACATAGGCTCAGGGTTCATGACTGAGATTACAAATGGACTCTGGTAGTACAAATCATGCTAACATGCTTCTGCTTGCATGCTTCAGTTAAAAACACAAACAAACAAAACCCACGAAAAACACCCCCCAAATTAGATGTACAACTAGACTAGCCCTTTCTTTTTAATGTCAGCTTAAATAGTGGGATGCTGATTTCTATGTGCTCTCAATGTGTTAGTGCTTTACACCCCTTTGACTGACTTCTTGCTGTGCTACTACAGGCATTGTTCTAAGGCCTAGAATATAATTTTCTTCAACCAGAAGCCATGTTTTTTTTATCAGCTGCTAAAGTTACTTGGCAAATAGTATTCCTTTGGTCCCTGCTTCCTCCAGTGTTGTTGGAGGGAGAGCTGTTACCATTTGCTGTAAGCTGGTAACCTAGTTACTGAAACAAGGGATGATTAAAGGTTATCTTCTAATATTCCTTTTAGAAAAGGAAGCAATACTAAATAACGCTTAGCCAGTCATACTTGGATGAAAGTTGACTTTGCATCTCAGATTTATGAGCAATAACTTGTTTCCCCTTCTGTAGACTTCTTAAATTTCAAATTATAAAAAAAAAAAAAAATCTTATAGTAGCCTTACTTTATTGGAACAGAAAACTGACGTATTCTCTGCTCTGGACTTCTGCACTACACTAATACTGCTCCGCATGTCCTGGCTGTGAAGAATCATTTTGTGACTGGATGCCACAAATTTGCAGGCTTCAGTTAGAATGCCTTACGCGATAGCATCTCTGCAGACACCAGAGAGACAGCAAACGCTTCCCTTATGCCAGTGGCAACTCTGAACTTGTGGCTCAATGGAATAGCACCTCTTTCCTGCGGGGGTTAAGAAAAGATAAGAAGTAAACCATCATATCTATAGCCCCTAAGCTTGCCCTCCAGGGTCTGTTCTTTGCCTGCTACAAACCGCAAGACTGGGCACGGGAACTGAGTCGCAGCCAGTGACACAGACAGAACTACTGCCTTCTACACCACCTGCTGCCTAGGGTGTCTGGGTGCCTGTCCTCCTCTACTGCTGAAGGACCTTTACTTTCCTCATTTGAATTATGGCCAAAGGTGTAGGCTGACTTGGGTTTCCTCCCCCACTTTCCAAACACCAACCAACCAACCAATCAAAATCCCCCCAAAGAACCCAACCACTATTAGTAGTTGGCTGCTTCCCGTTACGGTAATAGCTTTAACGGTCAGTTTAAGAAAACAAGCAGTTTTTCAGACACTGTTAAAATCAGTCTATTTGGAAGTGAATGACCTTTCTGCCATATGACATGTAACATGCATGGTGACTTCCACTGAGGTGTGAAATCAGTGCATGTGTGCTCTGGTGAAAGAAGGTAGTTCTTAAGAATATTTATTGTATTACCATTTATTATTTTTTTTGATGCAACAGAAAAATCTGCATTAAAAAAATTTATCTGTTAACAGCCCAAGAAAGATCTATAAATCAGTGAAAAGACATTTTTTTTGGCTCAGATCTCATTTTTGATATTTCCCTAAGACCTTGTTTCCGTGACTAGATATGACACTGTGTAGGTTATTTTATAGCAGGGCATCTTAGAGATATCCTCATATTGAACCAGAACACTAGCACTTCATCTTAAGTGCATACAAAAGAATTACAGAACTGTACTGTCCCAGGTGGCCTTCTAATACCTAATTCTTTTTCACACTTGGTAGGTGCCATTTTAACTCATGTGTGCTTAAGTACTTTAATTTAAAAAAAAAACAACAACCAAACAACAAAAAATAACAAACACACAAATGAACAACAAACCAAACCAAGAATACTGTAAAGACTGAAGAGATCTAGAGCTAACTGCTGAACTCATTTGGTAGAAATGGCTGAAATCAAACCAGATGTATATTAGTATATATTTCTTGTCAGCAAAACTGCTCATCAGAAAGCAAGAAAGTCCCATGTGAGACAGGGTCCTCCAGTGTTAGAAACTCATTGACATTTCTGTGTAGCTATTAGATTTCTGAAGAAAGGAGTTAGGCTGAGGAATCTTTTTCCAGGAGTATTTTTCCTTGGAGGACCTCCAATGCAGACAAGCAGGTTCCAACGTAGGAAAGGTAGAGGACTACCAAGGACTACAGGGGTCTGGGCATTCCCGCAGGTAAGTCTCTGTGTGGCCATTATACACCTCCATCAGCGTTGTGCACACAGTCAGCTGATAGGCAGGTGGGAGGAAGAAGGAGGGGGAAGAAAAAAAGAAAAAAGAAAAAGCCTCGTTACAGTAATCAGTGAAAAACTGTCTCTGATACTAACTGAACAGGTCAACTAAAATGAGCATTTATCTTATTTAGTCAACAACATGCAAGTATGAATAGCTCGTGGCCTCAGCCAAAAATGCTGCCTCTGCTGAACACAGTAACTAAACTTCTCATTCAAAAACTCCTCTCAACTCTTTAGTCTTTTTTTTTTCCCTAAACACCAAAACCTCAATTTCAGACTAAAATATCTTCTGTTGCAAGAAGAATGTGACTGTAGTATGTGTTAAACCATGAAGTATATTGACTTGTTTGATGCCACTTGTAAGGTCATGTATCGCAGGTTAATTCAGGTTAGTAGAGTCCTTAAGATGTCTGTAGTGAAATGCTGCCTCAAACCAGAGCCAGCTACTCAGAGCTTTAAAGCTGTAGGGCCTTTGGAAAACAGCTATTCCAGCAATTACGTTTTGCTTTTACAAGTTAATGTGGCATTTGGTTTGGTTTTACGTGCATGTGTTCACCTAAAAACCCCTGAATGTACCACTGTGACCTCCTCCTCCAATGCACAGGCGTTGGTGGTCTGCCCCTCACCCCCCACTCTACACTTTCTGCAAAAATAGAAGCGTTACCTTATTGAGGACAGGCTTTGTGGAGAGAACATCATAAATTGCTGGTAAGGAGATGTTCTGAAAGAAAATAATATATTGATGTTAACAGACATTAACCTGTTAGCATAAATACTGGCAACTGCAACTTTTACTGCTCAATCGGATAATAAGATAAAGCTTTAAGAGTACACGATACTCATACACCTTGAGATCAGAACATGGGTTGCAAAAACTTGAGCAGATGAGATCTCAGTACAACATGGAACACCTGAGTGTCAGTGTTTGCTGCCTCACAGCGTGTGTTTGAATTTCACCGGTGACAAAACAGCTCAGGAAACAATTAAAATCTCTCTCAAAGTATTTCCAGGTTTATCTCCCTGCATATGCAGCCACAGAAAACACTAGATGAAGTGAAAGCCTAAAACCACAAAACAGTTGTGTAAAGAGGCGCCTGGTACTTTATTACCCAGAAGCACAGACAAATTGTCACAAACTCGTTAGGCACTTCTGTCATCATCGCAGCTGTGCTTGCAAATGCCCTGAATGCTCCTGGCTCTGTCAGATCAGGACTGTAACCTGGGAGTTTCAAAACAGCAAGATGAGGTGTTTGGAGGATGTTTACCTCTTGCATTGTCTGGTTCAGGCATTTCATTGCAGGTGTTCTACGATTATCCAAGATTAGCGGAGGCTTCCAGCGATCGTAGTTTGTTTCTAACACGTACCATGTGCCTTTCTTGATATCAAGGCTGGAAAAGAGGTATATGTTTGTGTTTTGCTTCTCTAAGTATATAGTAAGTACATATACTATATACACTATATACAGCCAGATTTTTTTTAGGCTTGCTGTGGTATTTTTCAATGATGCTAAAGAAGCGAGCTCTTGCACAACAGAGGTCATAAGAAACATAGGACACAGTTACTGGTGGAACTTGTCTTCTTCTGGAAGGCTGAGTCAAGTCTCGAGTCAAGCATACTCACTCCCAGATATCCAGAGTAGCTGTCCTGGAACGAGTTATCACACATCCTTCTCCAGAATTTTTTCCACCCAGTATAAAGTAAGCTGGAGCCAGCAGTCTTGTTTTTGCCAGTTTGTCTTTTGCATCCTGGTAGCTGCAGATAACAAAGTGGTGTTGGACTACCAAACGCTATAAATGGTTCAAGTACTGAAGAATGAGTTTCACAGACCCAGGAAAAGTTTGGGTAGTTACGCCTTGCTTCCCCTTTCACGCACATACAAGGAGATTGTATCGCAACGAAGGAATGCACTTAAGCAAAACTACTCCACTCACTCTGTACTGAAAGTGTGGTTGTTGCGAGGGGCCTTTTGCACTTTTTCTACATTTAAAACAGGAATAAAATAATGTCATGCTGTGTCATATTCCACCTAGTTTGTTTACGGCATGAGAGCTTTGTTTGTGTTTACTTCCTATAGTACAGTACTACCTGTTGGATGTGTTTTGATGCAGAATGCTGTTATGCATTCAGATACCAATAGGTTAATTAGAAAAATAAAATAAAATTGAGAGAACTATTTGAGGAGTTTTAAGGGATCATGTGTGATGCCTCCCCCCCCGACTAGAGTACCATCAAACCCAGAACTATTTAATGTTGAGGCTTCTAGGAAGAGATCTGTATCATTAGATACTAAGCACATGTCTACAGTATTCATGCCAGCTGAAAGCAAAGCAGATTAAAGTAGTAGAATATTTCGGGGCGGGGGGAGAGAAATACCTTGTAGCATTCTCTAATACTGTTCTTGTAAGAAAGCCCATCCACATGCCATCTCTTCTACCAAGAAACCATTCAAAGATTCCTGCAAAATATCACTGGTTACAACAATTTGTTTTCACAATGTTCACTCATGTTATTCAAACTTTCACAGCCTTTAATATGAACTGGTTTATCTTACTCATCTGGAATCTTTTCACTGTTTGTGTGCCTGTTTATTAAAATAACTGGTCAAGGTCTGGAAAAACTTGTACAGAAATAATGAAAGAAATGAGCATTACTCACCCACGTAACCACCATCAAGACTGAAACGCTCATTCATTGTCAGAGTGAACAAGTCCTGAAAAGCATTAAATAAGTCAACCTGCATCCATCGCCAGCCAATTGATACCAATAATAAACAAGGGACAGCATTGCAATTTATGTGCCAATTGGGATTCTTGTTCATTAGACTCTTCCCCTTTGAGTAATGGGCTGCGAGATCAAGCCCATGCAGAGAAGAACCTAATTTATGACTGCTTGAGCAAGTAGAAATGATAATTCAGTTTTCTGACCTGGCAGAGCAATCCAGCAAACCATGCTTTTATGCTAAGCAACTCAAGCCTCTGGCCAGTTTTCTCTTGGTCCTTGTTGCATCACTGAATTACCAGTTTTCCTTCCTCTGTTGTATGTAACCTTCTTTTCAAACCTCTGAACACTATTCTAGTTTGAAGGCAGATTTTTAAGTCCTAGTGCTACATACACTCTGATTGCTGTTCACGTGGGCATAAAGCTGTACACAATTCAATCTGGGCTACTTGCAACACACAATTCAAACTCAAATCCCAGTCGTCTTCAGTTAGTGTTTCTTTCAGAGGAAAGCAGAATTCAGCTACACTGGATCATTTTCAGAATGGACTCTTCCCAAGTTATTTGGCCAGAAGACAAAAATGGATACAATGCAGGTAGTTATGCCAGAAATGCTCTACTATGAAAAGGACTGCCTATAATAGACGATAGTGGCAGAGCATGTAGAAAAGGAGGAGTTGTGCTAAGCTGGAGGCTCTGGTACTGTTGGTTTTTAAGATGTAGGTAAAACCTAGATTTCAGGTGCCTATTTAAAAAAAATAAATTAAAAAATCTTGCAATGTAGGACTCCTTTTCCAGGAAGTATTGGAGAAAGAATTAAAATAGCACAAGCATGCTGTTTCACCTCTGGGATCACAGCAGGATCTATTTGCTAGCAAGAAACTCCAACCACTTGAGCACTTTGTATTCATTCCTGTTCATATTCAGAATTCTACATCGGTTTTAAGAATTGTCCAAACAAATATTTCATTTAGGCAATCTCCTTTTACAAGGAAGAGTGCAGCATTGTTTTCTTTTGCCTTTCTTCAAATAGCTATACTGCGTACCAGAACAATTAAGAGATCATTTACTAAAAAAACATCCCAAGACAAGGATGAAAGCAGAAAAATTTACATCTTAAAGGAAAGTCTGAAGCATTATTAACAAATTGACAAGCCCCCTTCCCCATACTTACTGGTTTAACTCCAGACACCATGCCTATGTATCCTGCAAAATTTGTAGACTTGAATACTGTTTTGTTGTTTCTCTGGAAGTCCAAGTTTACCACTATAGGCTTCAGTTCCCGAGTTAACGTCCAGGAATTATTTTTAACATCCCATCTGCAGAAGATGGTACAACATTCAAAACTTCTCTCCTTCAGTTGCTTTTAAAACTTTCCTTCACAGCACACATCCTGTATATGATGCCTGTCCTCTGATCTTACTCATGTCAGCCAATGCCACTGCCGAGCAGTCACCCGAGCAAGGGACAACTAGGATGTCTAAATGCATAGGCACATCCTGTACATGATGCCTGTCCTCTGATCTTATGTCAGCCAATGCCACTGCCGAGCAGTCACCCGAGCAAGGGACAACTAGGATGTCTAAATGCATAGGCAGTCAGTGAAAAGAACCAAGTCGTGTTCGAACCAAGAGCATATACACTACTCGGTATTAAGCAGCACGACTGTTACAGCTGCTTTGTTTTGAACACACATAACTTCATTCTGTTCCTGCTGGCAAAGGGAGGCCGCTATGGGTACTGCCTGTGACACCAAACCTACTGTGTCCTGAAAGCATGTATAGCTTGTTCTGCACCAGAATGAGCTGGTGCCCTCAAATTCTTATTTTTCAAAGGGAGAAAACAAATCACATACTACTGGGTTTGCTCTACATGAAGGGAAGTCCCAATCCTAGTTTGTAAAATAAGCCAGAACAGTTTGTAGGCAAGAGAGTGCTAAAGAACACTTAGCAGACCATTGAATTCTCTGCAAATAGTCCATGTTCTGGGAACAGCTTTGAAGGTTGCCTTAATTTCCAGGGACCATGTTCCCAGTATTTCTGACAAGTGGGAGAAGTTCACCACAAGCCAAACCAAGGGACAGGTGGAGTCACAGGTGACAACATTTGAGTTTTTGATAGGTAGGTAGGAATTTTAATGAAGATGGACACTTAAATTCTATCTGGGCATTGAGAGTCATCTGGATGAGTGATGTCACAAAATACACTAGGATAATAAAAGCAAACACTGAACTACCTGATCACGAGGTATGAAATGAGAACTAAAAGAGAATCCAGTGCTGGGCAACAAGCTACAGAGTTTGTATCCAAATGAATGAGATCACTGGAATACAAATCACTGGCTTCTGAGCAGAAATGCTGAACAATGGGAAGTGCCAGTAGAGCACAGTACAGTAAGTGACGGGGATGATTTGGAAAAAAACCAACCACAAAACCAAGCCCCAATCCAATCCACATTGCATACACTAAAATTGATGCTTCTGTCCCATCACATAAAGAACAGGATATAACGCGCCTCAGAGATCCTTTTGTTCATTTTAGCTTTTTGTCCCAACGTGCAACGCAGAGTTACTTGTCACAGTCTTAACAACATCCAATTCATCATTTAGACTCAAAGAATGCATGTAAATATTTCAAGTTCAGCTAGTTTTTTCTTTAGGGTTAAAAAAAAAAAAAGGCAAAAAAAAAAGCACAAGTTTAAGTACTTACCCAAGAAAGAGTCCAAAATCCAAGTTTCTGGCATGGTATA